TCCCCCCACTCCCCCTCACTTCCCCCCACTCCCCCTCACTTCCCCCCACTCTGGGAATCAACGCTCTCACCTACACCCAACTACACCTTTCAATCCTCATGTGCATCTTCAAGTACACACGAACAGTCGTATGTACACACCCAACCCCCCAACCCCCGTCCCCTCTTTTGTGCATGTACAGCTACACTCCAGCTCTCTCGTGTACACATATGGCTTCAAGCCTGCACCTCCGGTTACACCCACCAGCCAGATGTACACCCCGGCACACCTGGGCTGCACCCCATAACATTATATTTGCGTGCGTGAGACCACACCCAGCTGCTCTCTGAGCCTCGCCACGTCCACAACACTCGGTTTATTTACACCCTGCCGGCCTATAGTGAGTATACCCACGTATATCTTCCCTTCCTCTAGCGTACACCTACACCCAGCCGGTCTATAGTGAGTATACCTACGTATATCTTCCCTTCCTCTAGCGTACACCTACACCCAGCCGGCCTATAGTGAGTATACCCACGTATATCTTCCCTTCCTCTAGCGTACACCTACACCCAGCCGGCCTATAGTGAGTATACCCACGTATATCTTCCCTTCCTCTAGCATACACCTACACCCAGCCTGTCTATAGTGAGTATACCCTTATACACGTTCCCTTCCTCTAGCGTACACATACCCCCAGGCGGCCTGTAGTGAGTATACCCACGTACACCTTCCCTTCCTCTAGCATACACCTACACCCAGCCTGTCTATAGTGAGTATACCCTTATACACCTTCCCTTCCTGTAGCGTACACCTACACCCAGGCGGCCTATAGTGAGTATACCCACATATACCTTCTCTTCCTCTAAAGAACTCCTATTCCCAGCGACTTGTGGTGCACATCTAGCAAGATCACACGAATATCAAATGCTCACAGCATTCAAATAATTCCATGGGTCATTGCTAATCTCCACAACACCTTCGCCACCTTACCTTGAGGCTACCTTGAGGTGCTTCCGGGGCTTAGTGTCCCCGCGGCCCGGTCGTCGACCAGGCCTCCTGGTTGCTGGACTGATCAACCAGGCTGTTAGACGCGGCTGCTCGCAGCCTGACGTATGAGTCACAGCCTGGTTGATCAGGTATCCTTTGGAGGTGCTTATCCAGTTCTCTCTTGAACACTGTGAGGGGTCGGCCAGTTATGCCCCTTATGTGTAGTGGAAGCGTGTTGAACAGTCTCGGGCCTCTGATGTTGATAGAGTTCTCTCTCAGAGTACCTGTTGCACCTCTGCTTTTCAACGGGGGTATTCTGCACGTCCTGGTATTCTGCATATTCTGCCACCAGCATATTAATGGCGCCAGTTAACACCAACACAACACTGGTATTTACGCCACCACACTGACAACAACAGAGAAGTATAACATAAATATATCATAACCCACTGTCATAATTCCTATACCAAACGTCTGTTTTATGCCACTATGGTCAAAATATGAATAGCAGATATTTTAAAAATTTTGTTTTTAAAATATTTAGCTAGATGCAGCCGGCGGGCAGTGAGAAAAAATCATCGTGGGAGTCAGAATGTGACCCCCTGGCACGCTAGGTTTTGCCTCTTGAAGTCTGGTGACCCCGTTTAGCCTATGTCCGTCCTGTACCCCACACTATTCCCTCTGCAAAGTTAGATAAGGCTAGCCCCAAGAGTCTCTCTTTTATATATATTGATATATGCCAAGCATTACACAACACTCGACTCAAAAATTCATGAAAAACCACATTGGAACGGATAGGAATTCCTAGCATTTTGTTCTCTGCTAAATAACGATATATTTTGGTCAACACTGCCAGGAGTGGAGTATTATACTTGATGTTATCCTCGAGTATAACACATCCAGGTATATCAAGCATTATAATTACTTAAAATATTTTAATATGTGAATATTTCATGCTTGTTATAATGGATTTAAGATGATGTCTTAATGGTAATTATTAAGCTAGCCATATAACGTCATGTCTTGGAATTAGCGAAGTAATGTGCAAATTATGTAAAGTTAAGCGCAAGTGGATTGCTCATCTCTGACTCGCTATCTAAACTTGTAGCTCCTGCATATTGTGGGCTGTTCGTTATCTTGTGTTGGTGCTGGGAATGGCTATCTCCGCGGCCTGGTCTGACCAAACCGCCGTGAACACCACAGGACCCCCACAGGGAACACCGTGGGAGCACCTGGCTATTAGAGCACTTGGCAAGTGCCAAGTGCCTACCTAACAATGCTTATATATGAGTGACTACGTCGAAAATGAGATTTAGTTCCTCATATCACGCCTCGTTGATTTATTGCATCTGTTGTATTTGAAGTTTTCTGACTTTCATATTTTAATATGTATTGTATTAAGGAGGAACTAGATAAAAGATTATAACTCTCCACTTTCTACCTCTGATAATAAATGATAATAAAACCTCCACTCTAGCAGTCACTGATAACAGCTGATAATTACACTAAAAAAAAAACACTGTTTTTCCTCCTGAGTGGTAAGTTTTATTTCCGAATTTTTTGTCTAAAGCAGAACAGAAAATGGTTTTTATTTCCCCTCAGACATTATCTATTCCCAATGAGAAAGCGAGAGAATTTACATTATTTAGTTCGCCTTGATGCTCCTGATGTGTCAGGGACAAAACCAGACAGGAAACATGCTAAAACCATCATGGCGATCCAATTTTTTTATTAACACATTTAGGTACATGTGTATTTGTGCAGCTCCCCTAGACTATATGACGGGGAGCACAATGTGTCAAAAAAAAAACTAGCTACGTGATGCTAAAATTCCCCATCACACAGGATGGTTAGTCATACAGAGGCATGTGATAATTAGTCTGCACTGGCAGACTCTTTGGTGTATTATGAGGATATCATCAACACAAGAGTGAATAAGATAGCAGTGATACTAAAAGTCTCCATCTCGCACGATGGTTAGTCATACAGGGTCATATGTTCATACACTGCCCATATATCAATTTGCCTGCACTGTCAAATTTTGGGTGCAATACGAGGATATCATCATGAACACAAGAGTGAATAAAGTCATAAATACAAGAGTGAATAAAGTAAATGACTCTGTACTGGAGACCTTCAAGCAACTCAATAGTGAAGATAGGATAGGTTAGTCAATCTTCAGCTATCCAGAGTATCTATCGAAACTGATGATGCTACAGAAGTTGCAAAGCTCCGTCGGAAAAGTCACCTTATAAAGTCTCCGGTGATCCCCCCCCCCCCCGACTCGTCACACTGCAAAGTGTCCTGCAAAGTCTTAATGATGTTGCAATTCTCCTTTGCAATACAAGCAGTGAACCAGGAGAAGAGTTGCATGTTACCATTGTGGTGTTCCTTCAAGTTTGCTCACAACTGAATCTGTCTGGAATTTTCAATCCCAATTTCAATTTTCAATCCATTTCAAGGTATCGCTGTGCTGGCATGGACACAGGAGCAAAAGGGAAATAGTTGCAATTTTTAATCATTCGTTGTGTCAGGGGACAGGCAGCCAGAGTGTATTTATTCACACGGTCGAATTACTACCCCCCCCCCCAGGATGTAACCCCACAATAAGCTGACTTACTCTTATTTACTTCTAGGTGAACAGAAGCGTTAGGTGATAGGAAATGCGCCCCGTCATTTCTGTCCCGCCCGGAATTCGAACCCAGAATTCTTGATTGTGAGTCGAGAACGAACCCGACCGGGACCCTATCCCGGTAGTACAGGTATTGAGGTAGTACGATACCTGTACATGTATTGTAAATCCCTAACGGTACCGGGATTTACAATATTTTTAAATATTAGCAGTTCGGCAATAATACTACAGGGTAACTAATAAATTATTACACAGTGTAATTAACTTTCCACTAGTTACCACTGATAATGAACTCTCCACTAGTTACCCCTGATAGTGAACTCTCCACTAGTTACCCCTGATAATGAACTCTCCACTAGTTACCACTGATAGTGAACTCTCCACTAGTTACCACTGATAGTGAACTCTCCACTAGTTACCACTGATAGTGAACTCTCCACTAGTTACCCCTGATAATGAACTCTCCACTAGTTACCACTGATGGTGAACTCTCCACTAGTTACCACTGATAGTGAACTCTCCACTAGTTAGCCCTGATAATGAACTCTCCACTAGTTACCACTGATAATGAACTCTCCACTAGTTACCACTGATAGTGAACTCTCCACTAGTTAGCCCTGATAATGAACTCTCCACTAATTACTCTCCACTAAAAATAAAATCTAATTTTGATAATCGAGCAATGTATAAAAACGGAGGTTAGCTAACCGGATTGTAAATAATAGTATGAACAAACACAACAAATAAATATTCACCTGGGGAACTGTTCAGGGAGGTTTCTCCTCGGAAAATAAGTCTTAATACGCCACAGGTGGAAGCTGGACACGCAATTGAGCCGAAGAAATGTAAGTGGAATGCAGTGAAGGAAGTTGATGGAGCCACCTCCATCCACAGAAGAATTCGGAACGTCCGAATAGTTAAATTGTAACGCAACAGGTGCTCAAAAAATAGATTAGTTAATGTGATTAAAAGCTAGATTCGCCTGTAGTTATCGGTAGATTAGTAGGAAACAGTAATGTTTACACTCAAGCATCTCTCAGTCCACCAACGCCCTCGACAACGTCTCCAGAGAGGATTACATCAACGCCGGTAGTGGAAAAAAAGATCAATAATCTCACCCCCATACAAATATCCCCTTCTGAGCCCTACCCCCCAACATCAACTCTGTATTCTCCCCCATGCTCACAAACACCTTCAAATATCTGCTACACACCCATGCTCGCAAACACCTTCAAATATATCTGCTAACACCCACACTGCTAAATAGACAAACCAGGAATATATGGAGAAAAGGATTTATTTTTGTCCAGTTATTGAGAAAAATGTTTTCAAGAGCTTGTTTTCCCTTGGTGGTCGACTCAGACTTGAGCAGCGAGTGTGGAAGCGAGGCCTCAGTAGCGCTCTCGCTGTGGTGGTGTGAGGTTGTGTGCATGTGTCGCTCCCAGCGAACTGTGATTCGTAGCTTGTTCCGTGGGCTCGAACGTGACAACCTGAGGATTACTTACCTTGCTTTGGATACTTAAGGAAGAAGATAATTATTATTATATTCAACATCTCAAGGTATGTTTTGGGTCCGTATTAGTGTTCAGGAATCGAGTCTTAGAGCCTTGTAACTTTTCTTCAGACAAGACGGGTTTAATGGTCGTTTTAAATTGTCCTCAAATGAATTAAGGTTTAAGGAAATTATAGGATTTTCTTGAGTCTTTAAGATAGAATATTTGTAATTTATGTAAGTAATGCAAAATTTAGTTTTTTGGGGGAGATTACTCGTCCTGGTGATGAGTTACTGAACTTGAGTAAATGTTTTTTCTTGAGTACCACCTCCTTCAGGGGTATACTTATACACTGAGAGGTATACTCTTATTTCTCGGTGTATATTAACTGAGAGGTATACCTCATTCTCGATGTATGTACACTGAGGTATTCTTCATTTCTCGGTTTATATACACTGAAATGTATACTTCATTTCTCGATGTATGTACACTGCGCGTTTTTCTATAGTCCTCGATTATATTCAGGTTTAAAGTATACTTTGTGGTTGGTCAGGAAGTTGTTTGTGGTGGACTGACAACCCTCCAGAGGTTGACAGCCCTTACCTCACTAGTGGAAGGCTAAGCACCACAACCTCTACCATCACTGGTAAGTGGTTGTGCTCGTTAGCAAGCGCATCTTAGAGAGTCCTGATACCGCCTTATAAGCACCACCCACACTCGTATCTTCTTAGCTCCTCCGTAGCCGAAGTCCTGCTTCCAGGAGTTCGGTAATGGTGACGGAAGGCGGCCGTAAGTAATAGGATTTGCTTGCATTTTCTTATTATTTAAGGTCAGTCTTTGTGGCTGTTATTATTGTCTTTGTGTCAAGCAGTTTGTTTTAACCTGCTTGTCAGAGCTGAGGTTTATAGGGGGAGGTTTTTGTTCCAGGTTCACACGATGTGTGTGGACCATGGTAACCTTGGAGAGCTTCCCTTTCACTTTCCCAACACTAGGTTTAAAGCTTGATACAGCTTCACACACCTTCACCTTCACTGCTTCTTCCTCATTTTCTCCACCACCTTCAATATTTCCACTCAGGTGTCCACCTAGGGGTCCACTAGAGGGTCCACTCTGGGGTCCACCTAGGGGGTCCACCCAGGCATCCTCCCCCGCTCACACAGTATTCAACACTCGCAGTCAATGTCACAATCACTCCCAACTATCACCACCTCTAATGACGCCCTTGATTGTCATCGCGAGGGCTGGAGGGCAGGTCCGTGGCGACCCACTTGTTTATGGCCAACCTTGTGACTCTGGCGGAGTGGGAGTCCACCCACTGCTGTAGGTGCGGCGGAGAACTGCGTGACTACGTGGGTGAGCTTCCCACCCACTGCCGTTAGTGTGGCGGGAGGCTTGTGTAGGTGGCAATTCATGAGTCCCTTCCACAGATCTGGTTGTTCCTTCCCAGTGGTAACTATAGCATTCTTCTGTCGTCTGACTCGTTATGCAGTGTAGCGAGTGGTTGAAACTAGATCACAGGTGATTGAGTGTGCTTACACATCAATATACATACATTCTCGTCTGTCATACATAGACAGGGTTAAAGATTTGTTTATTTTTCTCTACATAAATCAGTCGTGTGGCGTAGTGGTTTGCGTGTACCTGGCTCACAACCGAAGATCCCAGGGGGGTTCGAAACCCAGACGGGACCGGAGATAGGTTGGCATATTTCATTCCGCCCTAATCCTTTCACCAAGCAGCAAATAAATACCTGAGAGTTAGGCAAATGTTGTGGGGGTTGCATCCAGATGATGATAATCAGTATAGCTGGCCTTGGGGGGGGGGACCTCCTTATAGATTTCCCGTCCACAGCTGTGGGAATCCGTAGGGAGTACGAGTCAGGTCGTGAACATGTCTCGTACTATTGGGGGGGGGGGGGGGGATATGTGCGACGCGTCGTCCCTGGAACAGGTGTGGGAATGGAGTCGCCAGTGGGAGCTTCCCTCTGGTGTAAGCGATCAATCCATCACCAGTCCCTGGCCTGTACTGCCTGAAATACTTAGCAGCCGTCTAACGGAACGTCGTGTTTATTGAGACTCGGTGTTACTTCAAGAGACTCGTGTTGTGGCCGCGAAGGGTTAACGAGCTCGTTAAGTGGTGTTAGCATGGAGAGTGGCTGTTGTATGGAGGGTAATGTTGTTGTCTGTAGGTTGCTGGAGGCTGGTCCTGTAATTATCATGTTGACAGAGTGCGCGAGTGACGAGCATGGCTACCATAGGAAGTTTATGGTGTGAGTGAGGACCATAGCTACCATAGGGAGTTACTGGTATAGTGTGGGAAGTTATAGTTACTGGTATAGTGGTGGGTATGTGGGTACACATACCCACCAGGCAACTGGGTATGTGTATGGAGTAATGTAGTGTGTATGTTGTGGATGTAGTAATCCACTACAAGTAAAGTACTTGTCGTGGATGTGTGGGTCTGCGGGCCGCTCCAAGCAACAGCCTGTTGGCTCAAGTTATCACAAGTCGAGCCTGGCCCCAGACCGGGGCTCGGGGAGTAGAAGAACTCTCGAAATCCTCTGCAGGTATACTCCAGGTATGCATCCATAAGGAGTTGCTTGTGCAGTGTGCGACCATAACCTTGAGTGTCACTCCCTTATTAAGTCTTGCATGTCATGGTGTGGTGGGTTACTGCGGATGTCAAACTGCATTCATACAGGTGTGTCATTTAAACAGTGATTAATACGTGGGTGGGTGTTGTTTGTGTGTGTATGCGTGTATACTTAGGTAATTGTACGAACCTGATTGTGCTGGCGAGGTTGAGCTTCGGCTCTTTGGTCCTCTTTAGTCCCTCAACTGTTAGTCAACTAGTGTACAGGTTCCTGAGCCTATTGGGCTCTATGAAATCTACATTTGAAACTGTGTGTGGAGTCTGCCTCCACTATATCACGTCCAAATGCATTCCATTTATTAAATACTCTGACACTGAACTAATTCCTTCTAATTACTCTGGGGCTCATTTGGGTACTCAGTTTCCACCTGTGTCCCCTTGTGCGTGTACCACCCGTGTTAAATTATGTCATGATCTACCATGTCAGTTTCGCTGAGAATTTTGTATGTGGTAATTATGTCTCCCCAAACTCTTCTCTCTTCAAGCGACGTGAGGTGCAATTCACGCCGCCTTTAATCATAACTCATACCTCGTAGTTCTGGAAAGAGTTAGTGGCATACCTCTGAACCATCTCTAACTTCGTCTTTTGCTTGACAAGGTACGGGCTCCATGCTGGAGCCGCATACTTCAGGATTGGTCTGACATAAGTGGTATACAAGGTTGTAAATGGTTTCTTACACAACTTTCTAATGACAGTTCTGTTGTTAGCCAGTCTCGCATTTGCCGCTGATGATATTCGGTTTGTGTGTACTTCAGGAGATAGTTTCGGTGTGATATCAATTCTTAGATCCTTCTCTCTGTTTCACTGACGACTTCGTCTCCCATTTTACACCGTCTGGCCTTCTGCTCCCTCCACATAGCTTCATCACTTTACATTTACTAGAGTTAAGCTCTAGTAACCATTTATTGGATCATTCCTTCAGATTATCCAGGTCATCTTATAGCCTCTTGCTATCTTCCTCGGTCTTAATCCTCCTCATAATTTTGTTATCAGTGAACATTAGGAGGAACGAGTCCGTTATATCTGGGAGATTGTTTTATATATATTAGGAACAGGATAGGTCCAAGGATTGAGCCCTGTGGGACTCCACTAGTGACAACTTAGTGATTCTGATAATAAGATCAGAATCAGCACGTGGTATTTAGAGGATAATCTGAAATGTAGGTAAAAAGAGATTGAAAGTGGATTAAAAACTTTTTCAAAGGGCTTATAAACAAGGACTGAAAATTAGCAAACTTGGGCACAGCTTCAACTATTTGTCATCAATTAGTTATATTGCGAGTCATCAATTAGTTATATCGCGAGTCATCAATTAGTTATATTGCGCGTCATCAATTAGTTATACCGCGCGTTTAAAAAGGGTAAAAACAGAAAACGGTAGTAACTGGCCAATATGGCTGTAGGCAAATTGAGTGAATTATCATGTATATGTACAGAAAAGAATTATCATGTATATGTACAGAATTATCATGTATATGTACAGAAAAGTTTGGAGGTCAGACGTAAGCGGCTAGTCTCACCAAACTTTGCAGTGTGACCCTTTCACTTCACGCCGCCCCTCACCATGGTCTCGTAGCACAGTTGGCTTCGTTCTCGACTCATAATCAGGGCTTCCGGGTCGATGCCCGGGGTGGGGGACTGAAATGGTTGTGCACGTTTCCTTTCACCTAATGCCGCTGTTCACTCTATGTACCCGGGAATACGCGACTGTTTGGGGTTCGATCCTGGGGAAATAGTTCAATCTTGGGAGGACCCCGATATAAGACTAAAGTAGGTATAATATACTTTAATATAATATGAAAATATAACGTAATATAGACATACTCTAATATAATACATGTAGTAATAAGCATTATTACATATTATACTCCATGCTTCAACATACACACACGCTTCCTGTCCCCTATAAAAGTAATTAAATTATGAGTAGGGTGGGGTTACAGGTGTGGGCTGGGTGTGGGTTACAGATGTGGGCTGGGTGGGGTTACAGATGTGGGCTGGGTAGAGTTACAGGTGTGGGCTGGGTGGGGTTACAGATGTGGGCTGAATGGGGGGTTACAGGTGTGTGGTCAGGGTGAGGGTACGCGACCCTGGTCTCTGGCCTGGCCTTCTAATTTGGTGATTTGAGGCCAAATTGGCCAAATTTTAGTTCGTGTCGGCGGGTCGGGACTCCCGGCCAATCACAGTCGAGAATCGGGTTTCGGTGTGGACGAGAACCCCCCCCCCCCCCAACCCCACCCATTAATGAGGTTAATTTCTGTCCACACCTCCAGCATTATTGACAGATATCCGACTCTCCCCGTCACCGAACCCGTCATCTCACCCTTATAGGTCGTATTTTGGACGTAATCCAACACGTTGAAAATGCGGCCTACTGAAAATCCTGTCTCAAAACTTCAATATCTGGCATTCAC